GCGGGGAGAACTCATGAATAATATGGCCAAGATATCCAAAATCGATAAGCATATAGTTTACGAGAAAACAAAACTTGAACAGGTGGGCGATGAATTCAGTAGACACCGCGTAGCGGAAAGATTGCATAACTTAGAAGAGGAAAGATCGGCCCGCCTCGAAGCAGCTTCCAGTAATAGAAAGGCACTTCGTTCGCAAATCAGTCGAATTCGAGAAACTATCGATCAAGTCCTCAAAGATGATACTACACTGGCCGATAAAATTAAAACATTGTTCAGAGAACAGGGAATAACCATTGCCAGTATTTTAACCGCATTGGGTTTTATTATATCAACTTTGACTCTCTCGTTAACAGGTGGCAGTACAGGTGGTGGTACACCGCCTAACGATAAAAACGGGATAAAAGAGTGGATAAAAAAGCATTTAAAAGCATTAGGTTCAGCACTGGGAAAGCTCGCTGAGAAAGCTGTGGCCGCACTTCCCGGTATAATAGGGAGTATTGTTTCCTGGCTATTGAATTTATTAGCTAAGACCACCACTTGGCTTAGTCAAAACTTGTGGGGGTTGATCGTAGTCATTGCAGGGCTGTTGTACGTATTCACTAAGAACTATTTAACCAAATCATGAGTAAACCAGCCGCGACTCCACCAACTAAAGCGCTGTTTTTTCATAGATATGTTGTTGATTTTTAGCCTCAATATGCGGTGGCACTTGTGCGTTAGTAGATGGTTGTGCGTTAGTAGATGTTTGAATGATAGTTGGTGTTTGCGGCTTGACTATTCTCTTTTCGCCCGTGATTGTTTGCGTTATTAATTTGACGTTAATATCTGAATTTATACCTGGTTTAACAATTTTATTATTATAACCTATCACTTGACCGATCTTAAGTTCCATATTACTCGGAGACATGTATAGTCCCGGTGCATAAACAAAGTCCACTTTGGAGTGAGCGTACTTTAATGCATCTTGAAAACGCTTTATAGACGATGGTATGTCAACTGGTGAATTAATGACATCCTCCACGTTTGAGACAAACTGTTTTTGCGCATCGAGCGCCGCCCCAGTACCGATGATTCCTGTTCGTGTTTGCGATTGCGCTCCGAGAATTGCCCATACATAAGTTCTTATCGATTCATTAACTCTTACAAATCCGGGGTTAGTAAAATTATTTTCCGATGTAAAACACCAACCTGTACATATAGGATACTTAAGTGTAACACTCCATATTATAAATAATGGTTGATGCATCAGGCCCTGGAACACTAAGAAAATGTAATACAATTGCGCTTTCCAATCTCAGGGACACAGAAGGATTTGATAAACCCGGTTACAATGGTAAGTTATACGCTTTACACTTACACGATAATGTATACAAGCGGAAAGAAGTCACATTCACGGGTAATCTAGAAGATTTAAGCGATGTCGACGTTAGTAGACTCATTAAAAACACTTCGTACAATATTATTCTCAACGGTGAGAATAAATGGACTATGGTCGAAGCAAACATCGAGTGGCTACTGAATATCGTCATTACCCCACCTTATGTGATGATGGGTAAGGGACATAATTTAACTAAGATAATAAATAGTGGCATCGTACTCGCGGCTTATATCCCGTCAAAACGAAAAAGTGTGTTAGTCACTCCCCTGCCAGAAAACCCAGGTCATATGATATATAGTCGTCCGGCCTTAAAAAATGTTACTTTAAATTTGGTTACTGAATCCGATGATATTAAAGATAACTTGAGTGCAATACCTAATATTTCTACGCTTATTATTGAAGTCTTGTTCGGAGATGCACCGGAAAATGCCTTCGAAATATTACCAGGTCTATCGATTAAATGGCTCAAGAAACACGAGCGTCGACGTTGCAGTATTATTCATATCGGAGCATCGCCCGTTGCAACCCTTGAGGGGGTCCAAATTATTAAAAGTGACAGCATTTCTCTTTCTAAGATATTCTTGCCGTATAATATACATTTGATAAGGTTGATGTATAGTCTCAAAACATTTAAGCAAGACCAATTAAAGACTGTGAGTTTATATCCAGCGCTCGATGAAGCATTTGAAAAGATGGAAACTGTTGATGGATTTCGATTACATCAAATAAGCGACATAAAACATCGAATAGAGAAGGATATGGAGTTGAGACTAAGATTGTATAAAAAGTATCGCAGAGCCGTGAATGCTCTGGACGGAGTTGACACAGCTCTTGTAGTATCTGGCATGGGACTCGGTGTAGCGGGTATTGGTTTACTATCAACTATAATCGCCGCGCCTATCGTGCTCGGCATGGAAATAACCGCTGGAGTCTCGGGACTGGCAGGAATAGCGATAAAATTCATTTCTCGTAAGTTACAAAAGAAAGCATTAAAACACGATAGTATTCGGATACTCGCCGAAGCAAAGTTGAACAGCATTGAGGATCATATTTCGACAGCAATGGCCGATTGTAAGATATCCGAGGATGAGTTTCGTTTAATGCTGTGGGAACTCACCAAACACAACGAAATGAAGCAGGAGATTCGATCAAAATCTCATAAGACCAGTGGTATAAGGGAAGACGAGAAAAAAAAGTTCATAGAACAGGGGAGGCAACAAGCGCGTCAATTATTCTGTGCCAAAACCAAAGAACTGGTTGGAGATTAAAAATAGATTGCTTACTATCGTTTGATCACATTTAGACAAATGCTTACATAAATATATATAATAATGGAGAAAGCTATTAAATGGAGAGAATTACCACAAGGTTTTTATTATATCAGTGATGTCAAACAAACCAAATACGGTTATCAATTGTTTCTTATCAATTTACAAGAAGAGTGTAGTTATATAGTCTGGTCTCCTAGTAAAATGAATGAAGAACTTAATAAAAATGTTGAATATCGCTTTATCGATAAAAATAATGAAGAATATTTTTATTACCATTTAGGCTCATCTAAAGCAATGATTGGACCCAGGTATTGGTGAGCTGGAGTCAATTTAACTGAATCTCATGACTATCGTTAAATCGCATAATCATTTTGGCATAAAAAATGCCACCTTTAGTAGCAGTATAGGTATATGAATCCGGCTCCAGTGGAAGTGAGCCAGAACCATCATTACCTATAAAAATTTATATCATAGACTCCAGGTGGTGGTGAGCTGGAGCCAATTTAGCTGAATCTTATGACTATCGTTGAATCGCATAGTCATTTACGCATAAAAAATTCCATCTGTAGTAGCAGTATAGGTATATGCATCTGGCTCCAGTGGAAGTGAGCCAGAACCATCATTACCTATACACTTATGGAGAGGGAAGATAATACTTTTAGACAATTGATCTGGAAAACTACCTCTGCATAGAATGTTGTTAAAAAGAACTAGAAGATGTGGAATTAAAACATCACTGCCATACTTTATCATCTCTGGTAAAATACCATCAGGACCAGCTGCTTTACCATATTTGAGGGAATCTATCAAACTGTCAACACCCTCATCGTTACACACATTACAATTCATGCTATTTACTGGATGCTCTGTAATAACAGCTTTGCAGAACGCAACAAAATCCCCATCAGTTACATTATCAGTAATATTCAAAACAGTTTTAAAGTAATTAATCCTCTGAGAAACACCAATACTGGGTGCTGTTACGGGTGGCTTCCGTAGGTGAAATTTCAGTTCGGACCAAAATATTTTTGAATTTCTCTTATCACTACAGGAGTTAAGAATATTTACAATAGCAGATTCTTTAAATACATCCTTTTTTTGCTGGCATATTTCTCTGAATCTATTGCGGACTACATGAAAGTTCTTTAAAGTATCTATATCTCCACTAATTCTAAACATGTCTAACTGTTTGTATTTGTAGCGTTTCATATTTTCACATTCTGCATCAAACCACGGCGAAGAAGCACACCTGCTAATGTTAGTGTTACGACTGTTGCTTACAGCCATACCACTGTCCTCAGCACACTCTTGAATTATAGATGTCAAATGTTCAGCTTTTTGAGAAGATGTAGAACACTGAGATATATCTCCAACTGGCATCTCAAGTAATCTGTGTTTCAAAGATACACAAAAAAGTTCTGAGAGCGCCATATATATTTCGGTATTGAAACACTTTTTTCTATTTGATCTGCAGGTTATATCACATTAGGTCTACACTTAAGACTACAAGTAACTGGGAAATGGTCTGATTCAGTACGTGTCTGAACAGTAAAGTCTGATAATGAATAAAATAAATCAGTTGAAGCAACAATATAGTCCACAAAGCTGGCCCCAGTGTTTGCAAAACACGTGAATGATCCATGTGCATCGCTGGTAAAACGCCCATTTAGAAAGTGAATCCCATATGTGCAACAGAAAGCGATAAGCTGTTTTCCAAAGTCATTAACGTAAGCGTCTCTCGATTTCCTTAGAATTGAGAAGACGTCACTTTCATAGTTCATGTCACGTAAACATGGAATGTAATCAATATCGTCATCACATAATATATAGTCAGGCAATAAACCAATGCGTGCGTTAAAGTCTCCTGCCATCATAACATGAACGTCTGGGTAATCTCTTAGCATTTCTAGTAAACAGTACTCTAAATAATCAATACCTTTGAGTCCTCGGGTATCTGTCACCAAAGAGCTATTATCAGGGTGAATGTAAACAAAGCACACAAGAATATCCTTCTGAACATCAATGAAACTTGAATCTAACACAAGAAATGTACAGTCACTAAATGAAGTGTTCACGTGTTTTATCACATTAGTTAATGTTTTCCTCACTAAGACAGCCACGCCGTCTCTATTGTTGATTTACAAATCTTGATCTTTTTATGAAATATGATTGAGAGTGTGATCATTCAGTATTGTATGGTGTTGCTTCTGAAAAACATTAGTTTACATTTGCCTTACTTACGAATCCTAAACCTAGGAATATAAAACTTGCCAAAAATGTAAAGGTCAGTAGTGTTAACACTGCTGTTTGTGCTTGATATAAGATGACACTATCTAAATGTTGTGTTTCAGGCAATGAGATACTGTGCTCCCTGTTCCTGGCACTGGCAGCCTACCAGTCCCTGTACCCTTTTGTCTACATTGTGCCTGTTGCACTTTTATTTTATAAAGTAGGTGTGTCACAATGACTTCCATACACATTTCAAGATGATTGATTTTGATTTCACTTGTTTCCTTGAAGTGAAATATTAATTATGTAATCTAGGAGGTAAACATATTTTATCCAGTGGTGCTAAATCTAACATGGAACTGAACATGGTGACAGCAATATGAGGTTTCAAATTGTGTGGATCATTGCTCATGATATCAATCACTGGATTGTCTGGTTCAGACTTGATTATTTACAGTCCACAGTCATATAGCTGGAATATTGCTGGGTGCGGCGTTAAACAACATACAAACAAACAAAAACATAAAAGTGTGGGTTTTTTCATCTCAGGCTGCATAAGGTTCTAAGTAGTCATTATCTGAGCATTATCACTAACACCCGAGTCTGTTGCTTGGGTCTGCTCATTGGGTCTGTCCACTGCAATATAGGGTGGACAGGTAAATCTTTGTTGATCATTCAAAGTTGAAGTTGTGGTGTTTTCCTGATTGGTTAGGTTTAAATCTTAGTGTTGTGCTTTTAAATCCTCTGCTTTCACCACTACATTTTCACTCACACTACACTCTGCACTGGGAAGGTGACAAGCCAAGTCATTTAAAGATTAGTAGTTAAAGTTATTATTGACTTCTATATGTCAGTATGATATATAAATCACTGTAGGTAAATAAATGTCTCATTAATAGTATTTTAACAGGTTGCATATACTAGTGTTTGTTGTGAGTGTACACTAGTACATTAGTGTACACTAGTATATGTATGTGTACACTAGTATATGTGTGTGTACACTTGTATATATGTGTGTACACTAGTATATGTGAGTATACACTTGTACATATATGTATATATGTGTACAATAGTATATGTATGTGTACACTAGTATATGTATATGTGTACACTAGTATATATGTGTGTGTACACTAGTATATGTGTGGTACCCTGGTATATGTATGTGTACACTAGTATATGTGTGTGTACACAAGTATATGTGTGGTACACTAGTATATGTGAGTATACACTTGTACATATATGTATTTATGTGTACAATAGTATATGTATGTGTACACTAGTATATGTATATGTGTACACTAGTATATATGTGTGTGTACACTAGTATATGTGTGGTACCCTGGTATATGTATGTGTACACTAGTATATGTGTGTGTACACAAGTATATGTGTGTGTACACAAGTATATGTGTGGTACACTAGTATATGTGTGTGTATATTAGTATATGTGTGTGTACACAAGTATATATGTGTGTACACAAGTATATGTGTGGTACACTGGTATATGTATGTCTACACTAGTATATGTGTGTGTACACAAGTGTATGTGTGGTACACTAGTATATGTGTATGTACCTAGTATATATGTATGTGTACACTAGTATATGTGTGTGTACACTAGTATATGTGTGTGTACACTAGTATATGTATGTGTACACAAGTGTATGTGTGTGTACACTGGTATATGTATGTGTACACTAGTATATGTGTATGTACAGAAGTGTATGTGTGTGTACACTGGTATATGTGTGTGTACACTAGTATATGTGTGGTACAGTAGTATATGTGTGGTACACTGGTATATGTATGTGTACACTAGTATATGTGTGTGTACACTAGTATATGTGTGTACACAAGTGTATGTGTGTGTACACTGGTATATGTATGTGTACACTAGTATATGTGTATGTACAGAAGTGTATGTGTGTGTACACTAGTATATATGTGTGTACACTGGTATATGTATGTGTACACTAGTATATGTGTGTATAAGCTAGTATATGTTCAATTTTATTTTTTTATATTCAGTTCGGTTTATTTTTCGTAAGTGTAGGCCATCGGCCCATAGTTACATTTGTATTACAATGGACGTGATGTACACAGCAGTTATTGTTGTGACAATAATGTACTACGAAGTGACATCGCCTTATAGATATAGATAGCTAGATGTTTAATTTATTTACAATCAGTTGTAGACAAAATGGTATTAAGTTTTTGTTTGATCACACAGCTAAGATACAACTCTGTACCAAACGATACCTTGAATAGAGAATAAGAGAAAGATTTACTACCCTTTTCCAGAAGACTATGCCACTCCTGTTCATAACTACATTTCAGACGTGACATAAATTCTGTCAAAAACGAATGAGGATGACTTTTACACTGGTTTTCCCATACAGAGCCAAAACCCAAACTGAACAATAAAGATTTACATTTTGAGACACAATTAATTTTACCATTACTTTCTGCCTGAAGCCTCATATAATAACATTTCTTTGGAAAGCGACAATCGGACATACTCAATAACCTTATCCAATAACCAATAACTCTTTAGTATGCATAAAGATATAATGGATACCGCCCACATTCACCTCGAACCATGTTGTTGGGTGTTGACGATTTGACACCTAGAAAGTGCTTGCTTGCCAATGTATGTATGGTTTCCATTTCATCATTCCGGTGTAGACCCCAGACTTCGGAACCATAGAGCAAAATTGGGACTATTTCCATATCAAATATTTTATGTCGAAGAGGATGTAATTTTATCAATGACTTTAAAATTCCAAACATTGCTTTTTTTCCCCTGTAAACCAGCATTAGAGAAAAGACTTGACCAGGACAGGCTTCTCGTAAAAGTAACGCCCAAATATTTATGGGAAGACACACACTCCCACTTTAGACCTTTATAGTACCAGATCTCTTTTCTTGACAACACTCGACCTTTCTTAATAACAACCACCTTGGTTTTATCCAAATTTACATCTAGATGATAATCATTACAATACTTTTCTAGAACATCAATACGCTTCTTAAGTCCACCTATAGTATCTGCGATTAAAATAATATCATCTGCAAATAATGTTTAGATTTAACACTGGCCTTAACAGCTGTATAAATAGACTGTATAGCTTTTATCATTTTGCCAGAGACACCTTTATTGACTAGTACTGACCATAATTTCATCCTGTTTACACTGTCAAAGGCTTTTGCAAAATCGACAAACAAACCATATACCCTACCCTTACGCTTACTGATATATCTCTGGATATACACTGTAATGTAAAGATATTATCTATGGTGGAGTAATCATGACGAAAACCAGCCTGGGACTCAGCAATTTTACCATAGACCTCACACTAAGACGTGATCCTTCTGTTAAAAATAGAAACATACAACTTTCTCAGTGCACTAAGGACTGATATACCTCTATAGTTGTTATGTTATGTATCGGAACAATAATTCCCAAAGACCAAGATTCAGGAAAGTATGCACTATCGAACAACTTATTAAACAGCACTGTAAGATACAGGACAAAAATATCATTCGCATATTTAAAAAAATCTGAAATGAGGTGGTTATTTCCTGCGGATTTATCAAATTTCAAAGAGTTGATGGCACATAGCACCTCCTCTTGTGAAATGGGGGAGTCCAGAATATAGCAACTCATATCATCATGACTATCATTAATAGTCATATCGGTGATAACCATATCTTCATCTGTTGGATTGTCAAACACATCTTTAAAATGATCGACCAATTGTTCTAGTGATATGTTAGGTACATGAGTTGCCGCACTCTGAGATAATCCTCGTATGGTAGACCAGAAACATTTACTATTTGGAAGACTAGATAAAACCTTTTTACTCATATATTCATTATAACTTTTCTTTTTATCAAGTAATAAACTTGTATAAGTATTTCTTGATTTTAAATAACTAAATAAGGTGCTATCATTCTTAAGATGTCTATATATTCACCTCTCTCTCTCTCCCATCTGTAGTGCTGACACACACTGTCAAACCAGAGTTGAAGAATAAAGTCAAACCACACTTGGTTTGTCTGTTATTACACCAGCTTGATCCTGGCAGATTGACATATAAACAGCAAATAAGAAAGTCTTTCTCAAGATTAAATACACATTTATCTAAAAGTAAAAATATAGCATTGTCTGCAATTCTGGACCATTTCACATAGACACTGATGAATTTTTTCACAATCAAGGTTAAACCTCCCGAGAATCATCCTCTGTCAGCTGTTTTAAGGCTGTAGGCTGTAAAGTTGTGGAATATCTGGTCATAAGGAAAGTCAATTGTCCATGTCTCTATTACTCAAACAAGGTCTGCATTAGATAAAAAGTTTATAAAGATTACGTCAGAAACTTTATTTACCAAACCAGATATATTCCAGAAGAGAAGTTTACTAGATAATAATTGTTTTGGACATCGACGAGAATTTGCTTGGACTGGACCACACCCCTATTTGCCAGCACTGGACGTGTTATGACCAGCTTGCTCAGTATCATCAGATCTCTCACCACTGTATGCAGCATATGCTGCGTCTTGGAGTCAGTAACAATAGGTACGCCATTCTTGAAGTATCCTCGTTTGTTTTGTGCACTTAGTTCTTGTACCTTATTCCACTGTCTCTGTGTTAGATCACTGGCGATTCCATACCCAGAACTTTTAATGTTGCTACGCCGACTAAGGGAACATATTTCCAGTCGATAGGGAGGAATTGGATAATAATTGGCCTTGGCCTCTTTGAATGTGAAGAACGATGCCCAAGTCTGTGTGCTTCGGCAATATCATGTTGACGTATCTCAACGATGTCATCTGTTGTATTACCTGAGTTTAGAATGTCACAAACAACATCTTTACAAACAGTTTTGTTTTAGTATGGTATATTTGTTTAGTATATGTGTGTGTACACCAGTATATGTGTGTGTACGCTAGCAAATGTGTGGTCCACTAGCATACGTATGTGTACACTAGTAAATGTGTGTGTACACTAGTATATGTGTGTGTACAAAACTAAGGAGCAGGCATCAAGCTCTGGTTTTAGGACCGCAGCCTTATGCCCGGATGTTATGGGTAGTTTGGTCACTCATGGTTTTAAAGAAACATTGGAGCCCATCCAGCTCTGGTTTTGGGACTGCAGCCTTATGCCCAGATGTTATGGGTAGTTTGGTCACTCATGGTTTTAAAGAAACATTGGAGC